AATGTATTAAATACGTCAAGGTACAATGATTTAAGTAGACCTCTGAGGCTCTGGGTGATGGCTTAGCCAAAGGTCGTGACTTGTTTTGAAGATCAGATAAGAACTTTTTAAGTTTGTGAGAAGAGAAAAACGTCGCATATATATACTCAAAAACGAAAATTGTTTTTTTTTGAAAATACAGTAGTATGTGACCTCGTGTTAACAAATGACATTTAGTGTATACATGTATAACTCATATCAGATATTAACTACTGAGTATCATTTGTCAAACTCATGAAAAATGTTTGTTGAAAATAAATGTTTTAATATCGAGCAAATGAAGACTCGTATCAGCCATATGCCGTCGTGTAGCGACGAAATACCATGGCCTGGGGGCGACATCGAGGGGTTTTCGCTACAGAAAATGATCGCCGCCCCAGGCCATGATATTTTCACATAACAGTCGCGATCGATATACTTTCACTGTTTATCGCATAATTAACATAAATATATTTTTTGATTAGACATAAAATTAAATATATCCTAGCTAGCTTCCCTTAAAATATTTAATTCCCCACACAGACATTCGGTTACTTATTATGGAATATGTTAATGACTTTTTTTTTCTTATTGTAAACCCCATAACCTAAGAGCCAATCAGAAGTAAAGTGGATGTTCCCGATATGTTTGATGACCATAGACAAGAACATTTCTTGACGCTCCAGTATTACGCTATCCGCCATTTGATAATAACAATTTTAAAACTATCTCAATGAAAACGATTATTGTTGTGTTTTTTTCGGGAACTTGATATTGAAAATATTGCAAACATATCTAATCATGAAAATGTTTATATAGGCAAAAACCTCCTTGCACCAACGAGTGGCGTAGCCACGAGTGAAAATAGAATAGCTGGTGTTCACGAATTAAATATATTTCAATCTTATTTTTAAAAAAAAAATCTTTTTTATTTCATGCCTTTTAAGTGATTTTAAATATTTTTTACTGATTTTGCCGCGTAATGTCGCGCATTCCCCTTGGTGACGTCACCACATCATGATATCACATCATCAATTTTGAAATATAAATAAACATATTTAACGTGATGTATAATGACATCAACTTTCTTTTCCTAAAGAAGCAACATTTACGTACGACGGCATTTATTTCTGCCTGTTATTCCATTTATTTATGGTTTTGTTTTCATCCGCATTCAAATATAGTCCAGCTACAGTGAAAATTATATTTTATAAATTTCACTTGTGGTTTATCAGAATGTAATCATCTGATATATTCCAGTGAAACACTGGAAAGCATGAAATAAAGGGTTAATAAACAAGTACACCAGACAAAACTTTTTTCTAAACATGCCCACAGTACCCCATTATCTTTCCCAATAAGAATATATTCGTTGTTTTTCCAGCCTACATTTCAGTACCGTCCAGTGACCCGTGTGTATTTGTCTACGGTCACGCTAAAGTGTACTTAGGTAACTGTGCTTTATTTGAAATAACGCACACGTTTTACTTAGGTAACTGTGCTTTATTTGAAGTAACGCACACGTTTTTCTAAAGAAGTATGCTTTATTTGAGATATCTACGGAATACCATTAGGTCCATCATGGTTATACGTTAAAATACAGAAGGCAGCAATGCGATAGTGTTACAGTGCGATGACGACAATACGATAGAGCGGTTACGAGAATGAGACAGTGTGATGGCGACAATGCGAGAACGCGATAGTACGATGACGACAGGGCGATAGTGTTTCAATATTACAGTTAGTATTATCACTTCTGTTACAGTCGCCGTATAGTAGTGTTTGCAATGTTACAGTACAGTAGTTTGATAAGATGTTCTCTAATTCCATTATAAAGTGGGCAAATGAAAAAGAAATGGTGTGTAGTTTCAGTAAGACCACAGCTATACATAGTTCTGACTGAGAAATGTTTTTTTTTTTTCTGAAAAGTTGGTGATAAAGTGAACTACATCCGGTGCGAAGCCGTGTGTAGTTTTTTATTCCCAATGTAAAAATAATTTGGACATTTTAGATTATGTTTCAATTTGTATTTGAACGAAGAATTTCGAATTTCAGAGGAAAGTTTATTCCAGTCCCGTATTACGGACGGCAAGAAGGAATTTTCATAAAGCGTTGTTCTTGTGCGTACGGTTTGGATGTCCTCGGCATTACGTAAGTTATATTTGAAGTATTGCCTACGGATGGTGGGACTAGAGGGGAAAGATAATTTTGTGTAAGATCGTGAGTCATTTTGTAAAAAAAAAGGGTTAGCTTGTGATTTTTTCTCCGAGAGTTTCCAAGGGTACTTCCTTTTGAAGTTCATAGAGAGAAACAAGTTTTGTAGCCCAGGAAACGATTCGAACTGCTTCGTTTTGGATTTGGTCTAGTTCTGTTTTTTTTTTTTCATATTGCACGGTGCATATCCATGTCGGTACCCTCTTTGCGAAATCTGCTCAAACGGTACCCTCTTTCCACATGCACAGGTCATTCTCTGTTAAAAACAAACCAGCGATGGATAACAAGCCAGTAAAATTTCATTATAATAAGGAAAGGAGGTATGACACGTGGAAAAGATGTATACCACGGAACACTAGAATATTCTATTTATGTGCTGATTTGTCATGTGCCCGTTTTTCATGTGCAGCAACTCCACAATAAGCTACAAAAAATCGACATGTCTTGCCACGCCCATCACCTCGAAATACTTTTCGGGCTGAAATGAACCTGTGGCTTGATTATATATGCATCATACATATTTAATATGTTCATGTACATATCATCTTCGGACAAATGGCAGTATATTGTCAAAAATAAATGTAAAATTCATAAAAACACCCTACTTTCGGTTTTGCAGCGGCACGGACTACCTCTCTTCATTTGAATTTTTATATCACAGGTACCCTCTCATTTTTTAACACATAGGTACCCTCAATGCACGACATATGCTTTTATTTGCGTTAATCGTTAAGTATGTAATATTTACATAAAAGTAAGAAATATTACATACCTAACGATTAACGCAAATAAAAGCATATGTTGTGCCTTTAGCGAGCTCAAGTAGTTTATTGGAAAACGAACATGCGTAGTTATTGATGTTATTATCTTTAAATTGGTCCCAGTTAAACAGTTTGATTTTATCTCTTAGTAAATTTAAATCTCCTTGGTCATATAGCCATATTTCTCGCTTAAACGCCTTAGCAGATGGTGGAGAAAAATTAAACAATGCATAAATTGGACAATGATAGCACTGGTTCTGATCAAACACCGGTTCTCCTACACCGGAAATGACAACATTATGGCTGCAGGTAACTAAGAAAAGATCAAGAATCGAAGAAGAGTGTTCTGTAAAATGAGTAGGATTGAGGATTTGAATCATTAAAGTTAAAGTCACCCGTCACTATAATATCGGCTATACCCGAATCAAGAGCCAAACTAAGAGAGTCCTCGATTAAATTGGTGTTGTAAACACTAGCGTTTAAATTGCTAAAATAATTCGCTTTGAAGGTGGTCATAAGTTCAATCCATCTGCACTCTAGACCTGGGGGTTCTTAATCAAGTCTTTTACATCAAGAATAACCCCGCCATACGAGTTGGCATTAGAAAGATGCAAACTAATAAAATTAATGGTTTATTACTCATATAACAAAAAGACAAACAAATTATATTCATAGATACGGACTCCTATTAGGGACCTCGCGTCCTCGCCCCGCGCCTTTTTGAAACACCGTAGAAAAAATGCAACGAATTATATTCATAGATACGGAATCGTATTAGGGACCTCGCGTTCTTGTCCCACGCCTTTTTGAAACACCGTAGAAAAAAAAGCAAGACATGTTATACAATACATTATAACGGTATCGTTAAACTTCGGCGATATCCGTGAATTATTGCCCACATTGCCGACATCGATTTTCATCGGAGACATATTTGTGTGGAAAAGTGTGTTTTGTACGTTTTAGAATAAATAACTATTACTTTTTATATAAGTAAAAAATGTTTAGTCTTTTTTGTTGATGTACCTCCGGGAATTCAATATGGTGGTATTTTGGCTACTTTTACCCAGGATGCATCAAATCTCGCAAAATCTCGCAACATATGATAACTTACAGAAACACAAGTCTGCCAATTAGCTCCATGCAAATACTGATAGAACTTGAAGTCAAAAGTTGTGAATCTGAACATCAAAATATCCCTTTATTCAAATTACAGTCTAACTTGCCCATGCGACCACGTGTATTAAGCGACTTTTGTCTTAAACAACCACATTAAATCCCCCCGATCATTTTCTCTCTATATCTTTAATGTATTAAGCGACTTTTGCTCAACGCGACCAGCGACCGCTAATTAGTCACATAATTGAGATCAGTCTTTTCATTAAACAACCGCTTTTACCTGTCATTAGTAATTGTGTTTTTAGAGAACGCCGCCTCGTAATGTCACAAGTGTCAACAGTCAAAACACAACAAATAAATGTGTGAAAAACTCTATTTCCCAAACTGTTTTAGCGTATGCAAAAGAAGTTAAGTATACTCGTGACGTGTATTATCCAATAAAATCGGATAAACAATGCAATGCTCCCCCCTACTGAGATATGGTGTATGCGCTTCGCTTGTTGACATTTAGACTGCATGAAATTGACCTTGAACTTGATCAGCAATTAAATTAATCGTAACAATTAGATATAGTTTGTTTATTTCAAATGAAAAAATGCACTACAGAAAACATTTTCACTAATAGGGTTTTCGTGTTGGAGACAAGGAAAAACAACCAAGAAGTAAAAAAAAATTCTGGAAAAATGTCAAACATGTACGTAATGGATCAAAACTGTTTTGTCAATAAATATCAGAAAGTTATTTTTTACCTAAGTATCCATTTAGATTATCGGAGCATACTAATTATTCAACATTTATATAAATGAAGTTGAAAAAAAACAATCCCACCGCAAAAGAAAAATGTCATTTATAAATTTTGACTTTTATATCATGCTTTGTCTTAAGAGACCATTTCATTAAGCGACCGTTTTGGGTGTTTCCCTTGCGCGGTCGCTTTATACAAGTTTGACTGTATATAACATTTCACTTTTGAATAATCAATATCAACGTTGTTAACGACACATCTATAATAATAAAGTTATTTTGATAGTGAAGGTCTTGGCTGCGGCACTGGGGGCTTCACTTCAACAGATTTCTCCAGACGTCTTTTCTCGTCTGCTTCTTTCTTTCTAGCGAACCCGCACGTGACACACGTGAGAACGAGACCAGCAGCAATAAGACCTACGTTGATGGCGACAAATTTTAATCGCATATCTGAAAAAAAAATCATTTACAAAATGTTTATATTTAAGAATTATGCATTGTTGCAATGTATTCCTCAGTCTTTTTTCATTTGGTTTCCTTAAATTAAAAAAAATCCTCAAATTTGATTTCAATTAAAATAGGTTTATCAAGTTTGAACATTATTACATAACAGACGGATACATGATATGAGCGGATTCCCTAGCTTTGGCGACAGTCGATGTATAAACCCGCAGAATAATCTAGGGAAGTGAAATCACGTAATAATATTGATAATAATGATGGTGATGATGATGATGATGATGATGATGATGATGATGATGATGATAAAGGTAATCACGTTTAACAATATTCAAACGATAATCGACCTCAAACAAAGTTAAACAATATTTTACAGAAATATAAAAATGTGACAACAAACAACGATTGATATTCAAACGTTTCCCTGACATTAACAAGTACAATTCAAAAATATTTAAAAAAAATGAAAGACTGAATTACCTGTAACATCATATAAGAGACACGCCCCATCTCCTGAACAAGTTGATTTCCACAGAAGACACAAAGAGTCAAATACCCCACCATACACTATCGGTGCCGGAAGGAAAACTATAGTTTCGGGAAAAGAAAATGGTTCGATTAATTCATTCTAAAAGATTTTTATTTTTACTATCTAATTAACAGTTATTGTCGTGCATGCAAAAAGGTGGGTTACCATCATTATTTAGTATAAAATCGGCAGACTTTGTCATAATCCATAAATTGTACAATATTTACTGAAGAAACAGCGAGTTGCCAAGCAATTATTGCTGACATTGGTCGCGACATTGTTTTTTATGTTTATGTTTACAGAATGATGAAACAAATGCCGAATTTTCAAGACATAACGATAGGGTTAATTCATAAGCTTGTCAGACATATTGAAACTAAATTGAATAGAAACACAAATTATGTACATGTATAGAGTAATTTATAATTATCAAGGGACAGGACGTGAAGTGGTTGCACACTTGGTTCAAACGAGCGAATTGGTTGCAAACTTGACAAAATGGCGAACACGGCGTGATTTTTTGAAACGGATGAACGAATTTTTGCTAAGCAAGTGGGTTTCTTTGTTATTTTGAAGTTCATTTGTATGTCTATTCCATAATGCATTATATATGCCACACTCGGTTAAAGGTTTCAGCATCCTAGATTCTGTTTTGACGAAGTTATTGAATATATAAACTGATCATGTAGATATTTTGAAATTTGACATGTGACTGTTCTGGTCGGTTTTTCTCCTAATTTATTCGAATTTGTAAGTTTGGAACTGCATTTAACAATAACAAAATATGTTTCTGTAAATGCTGTACAAATGGTTTAGTTGGCAAGTCCGAAGATAACGTTCAATACACAAAAATATCTTGTTCAAGCACATTTTGGTTGCAGACTTATACTTCAAGCATTTTTGGTTGCAAACTTTTGTGTCAATAATGTGGCATACATATTTTTAGCGAGGAATAACTTTTCATTTCTTTAAATAATTAGCAATATTAAGGCAATTATACCCGTTCATCTAATAAGAAATATATATATACAAATTGTGCATGCGTGCAGATATATACTAACACAGGATCTTTCAAATAGCTATATATAATTAAATATATATATTAAATTGAAGTTCAGTTGTGTTTATCTTCATCATTTTTTCTCCTCAATATACTTCTATTCTTTTTACAAAGTCTTAGGACTTTTTTATATCTTGGTATGACTAACTGTAAAGGAAAAGAAGAAAAAAATAGCAGCAAATAGCTTTCATCATTGTTCTTCTTTGTGATTTAAAATAAATTTGATTATATAGTAGATAAAAACTAAACTATTAACCTTGACCCAAGGGCATTACATGTTTCTTTAAATTGTTCCTTATTATTGACCAAGCAAAACATCTTCCAAATTCCCTAACTCGAACAATGACTTTAAATAGTTTTGTCACGTATCAGTCAATGTAAATAACCAATCGTATATCAGTTATATTATGATCTAATAATCAAAATCACCTTTAGAATACCAATTGACAAGTGATGTACATCAAATCCGAAATATTGTAAACAAGCATGACTGTCATTTTAACTTTTGGTTTGTAAAAATATTTTAAGTACATTTATATACATGTACTTTATGTCTAAAGCAACTGCTGATCTTTACATACGAAACAAACAAATTAACATTTCTTGTGGTTTTGATAAACTTTGGAAATTTTGCCGAGTACATCGTATGTGTGCACATGTCCTTATGTTTATGATGAAAATAATTCTCTTAAATACAACAGTACTCTCACATACGTTTGTTTTGTATGTAGTTTTCATTGCATTTTACATATGATGACATTTATTAGAATTGAAATATTAATAAATATTTTTCTATATGCTATCATTTTGTTTGCACGCTTCTACTAATGATTAAAGTATTGAACTGAGAACCATGTAATTTGAAACATAAATTTTGTTATTGTTAAATGCAGTTCAAAACTTACAAATTCGAATAAATTAGGAGAAAAACCGACCAGAATGTCACATGTCAATTTTCAAAATATCTACATGATCAGTTTATATCTTCAATAACTTCGTCAAAACAGAATCTAGGATCTAGGACAAATATTCGTTCACCCGTTTCAAAAAATCACGTCGTGTTCGCCATTTTGTCAAGTTTGCAACCAATTCGCTCGCTTGAACCAAGTGTGCAACCACTTCACGTCCTGCCCCTTGATTATGCTTCTACAAATTCTATTCGAAACTAATAATTGGTTACCTAGTAACGCCAAAAGAAATGATTGTAACCCAACAGCCATCGCTCTGTCTTTCTCAGAAACAGCCCTGTTAATTGTGATATAAAATATAAATGGTATTTTGCCACATGTTTTAATTATTTATAATACATAAAGTTATGTCTTAATAATTTTTCTGAATATCGTGCTAGAGTATAATTTTACCAAATTTATCAGGCAAGATTAATTCATTGGCACACAATATGTCCCTGTAAATCTAATAATAAACAAGGGAGGTGCATTTAACTAACGCAAACACTGTATTATTTTGCTCTTTATAGTAGACACAACAAAGCAATAATTTTATGTGGATAACGTGTATTAGAGATATACTCGTCAAATGCGGCATGAACAATATTTGGGACACACATCTTTTTCCAAATCAAAAATGGTTGACATGGGATAGAACTTAATATGAGAAAATGTACATAATGTAATTCCTCAGTTGGAGATGAATTTCACTACCTTCTAGAATGTAAATAGTTTGATCATCAAATAAAAAAATACTTACGACCCAATTATCATATTAGACGAAACATTTATTCTTTTGATAAACTTATGAATATTATCAACCATAGTAATTTTGAATATAAGAAAATATGTATGTTTATTAAGGATATAGTTGAAAAAATTATATAATGAAAATAAATGCATATAACACGTGTAAATTTTTATACATGCAAATATTTTAGTATGTTAAAAATACCTAAGGTACTCTCCCTTAACATGTATTTTAATTATATGCTTTATGTTTTTTTTGTATGTGTTCTATTGAGCCTCGAAACTTTGTTAATATTTATTTACCTCATGTTGTCAATGTCTTGACCTGAGAGAAATAAAGATATTTGTATTTATATTTATTTGTTACTACTGCAGTTCAACATTTTAAAAGGAGTTGATTTAATTATGCGTACAACAATTCAAACCAGGCGATTAATATTAAATAACACACTTTGTATAATAAGCCGTGAAACCTTAGTTTGTACATAAACAGGAAACACAATATAATCAATTATCTAATCTAAGTCAACAACTAAATCGTAATAATGGTGACTTTACCTTAACATAGTGACGTATGACGGCGAAAGTGTCATTGTTCCAATCAAGGAGCTGCAGGCATTCAATATGATAAAGGGAAGTAAATACGAACATTCACCGCCACAGAAACCTTGAGTTACTGTCCCTGATATAGAATCTTCACTGTAAGCCGCCGTGCAATTTGAATATACCTAATAATATACACATGTTATATCATTTTATAATTTAAATCGCTGACTATTTTATTATTCTAAGACATTTATATGTATTATGAAATGAATTTAGAGGTACAATAGAAACATCCTATTACAAGACGAAAAACATCAAGAAACATATATTACACAGATTCAGTATCATGTTAGGAATGTTGTCCTAATTTCATATTGCATACTTCACAGCCTAGGAACCGCGTGTTCAATCCCTGCAGACTTCATAACTGGCTACAATTCCCTTTAAGTCGGTCTAGTGTTAAGAATATAAAAAAAATTCGTTTAATTGGGCAAAAGCAGAGTTCAAACAAAAAGTTAATGTGTTAATTGTGGTCTTCATGAATTTCTTAAAGTAAAACAAATATACATGTGTATATTACCCCTTGAAGTTCTGTAGTACAACCAGCGTGACATGGTGAAAAATATGACTGCCCATTCGCACACACCGGAAAATACGGGACCATCGTACAAACACAAGCTGGACTTTCTATCCGGCTGAAATATTAAAATTCAATGAAGTCTTTTGACACACAAGACGAATTGCTATTTTATTTATATTTATAAGTGTTTTGTGTAATGCAATCAGCTCAAATTCCCCTTAAAGTGTAGTATTTGTTTCTTTATGGTATTAATACATGTATATACATTTAAACATATACTATATGTGCGGTTCACTGCGAAGCTTACCTATTAAATCTTATAAGGTGCCTATCCTTCGTAAAATTATGTGATCTTTAATCCGAGCAAGAATACAAATACAAAAGCCAATGTCCCAAATATTCCCTGAGCATGTGGGAACAGAAGAGGGGGTGGGGTGGGGGGTAAGTTTACAAAAGTGTCATCTACTGACCTATTTTCTGTGTCAAATCCAATGATTGGCGGGTTATCACACCCTAGAACAAAGTTGGCTATCTGGCAAACAAATGAGAAAGAGCGACACATCAGCAACATTTTAACACACCCATACAATCCAAGGCGGAGCCTCCTTGTAATAACTCCGCCCAGAAACGTTCCAAGAACCGTTGTAACCAGCTTCTCTGCACCTGTAAATACATCCGGGTAAGTAAATGCGTTTATTATAAAACATATACATGTATCGTGTATCGTGGAAACGTTTGGTTGATTATTTACCATGTTTTAACATGAACTAAAGGAAAACAATTTTACATTAAATGCTGTAAAACTATAAAGAACGATATACAGTCAGGACTCAATACATCGGAATCCATTATACTGACAAATTCAAAGAACGACAGTGATTTGGTGGGAACCAAATTTTTTCAACGTTATTATAATCCTTTATAACGGAAAATTCGTATTCCGACTCCGACACTATAAAATTGGAAACCAAACGTGTTATTTTCTATACAATAAGTACCCGTTAAACTGACACTTGGTCAGTCAAGCTCGCGTATCATTGAGCCGTGAACAAAAAATAGGTATTGTAGCTTGGTCAGTTGATTGTTAAACCTTATTACAATACCAACGTGTTGTTGTCTTACACTTGCCAACTTGTGACTTTTTATTATAATTAAATGGCAGAACCTCCAGCTAAACATCAACGGACTAATTTAACTTTTGAACAAAAAAAAAACGAGTTTAGTTTAGTGCACTAATTAATACTTATTTTAATGAAGTTGTTGTATTATGTGTATGATATGTAATGTGTATAATAAAGTGAACACATAAACACAAAAAAAAATCATAATAGACCTAAATACATAAATGTTCAGATACCAGTGAATAAGCATATCATTACATGATGAATGATGAAATTCAATATACTGACAAATTCGATATACTAACATATCATTTGGGAACCAACAGTGTCGTTGTAATGAGTCCTGACTGTACATGTACTTTCCTTTAACTCATACATTTCATGTTTTAACAATACAAGAAAATTGACAATGAAACAAATTTATTGTGTCAATGTAACCGCGCAGATACATATACACACACGACATATAAAAACATAGACATACTTCCAACAAAGAGGAACATGGGCATGGTATTACAATAATAACTTTAACAATAGCAATATAATATACATTCGTAACATTATATAAACACATGCTTACTTCAATTTTTGTCTTTTGGCAAAAAAAAGAGAAAATGTATGACACATAAGTCTATAGTTCTGGCTTCCAAAACTTTATAAGCCGCTAATTAACATTTTTTTTTTCATCTGATGGGTTCACGTCATGTCATAGTATATAAACGGGTACGCTGAGACCTTTAGCTAATAAGTTTAAGACTTCAAGAGTGTTCTATACAGCGACTAATAACTGATTTAAATAAAATGTAAAATAATAATGAAACAATGTTGTCGTTACCTAATATGATATTCGCCTTCCAGGTGGGAACTCTAAACTGATTTTCTATGTACTTTGGACCAAACGAACCAAATGCCATGAATGCAAAAACAAGGAACAGCACGGAGAGTAAATTACACACATACACCGGTTGTTGAAGTACTCGAAATATCGACCGGGGCAAATCTGAAAGAAAATATCAATTTTACTTTAATAATATGCTGTGCATTTAGTGAGAGGAAGAGCATAGTTTTTTTTTTAACTAATTAAGGTTTATGCAGCCCGTTGAGCATGCCTGAAAGCCGACATATTATTTTCTCAAATAATGATCTCACAGAGGGAACCACTCTTTTAAGAGACGAAAATGTCCTAAAAATCCATAAAAGCAGGTGGGAGTGGCTTACAATTTAGTACGATGATACCCGACGTTAGTTGTTATTAACCGATTCATCAACGTTTGTAACTGGTCATGTGGTAGTTTTGCATTTAGCCCTGTACATCATCTTCATTTTCATGCCAATGAAATATCCTTCAATGTATTCTCGTGCTTGGAACATACACACACACACACACACACACACACGCACGCACGCACGCACGCACGCATACATATATACATACATGTTACATTTACAAGCTTAAGTTATTTATAAAAACATGCACACTCTCAGTTACCTTTCAGAGTTTCCGTAAATCTTGGTGATGATTCTATTACAGAACTGTTAGCATATTCTGCTTGTTGTACTTGAGATTTTTCTTCGCTTGCCCGCAATGAAGCCGGAAAAAAGAATATCGGAAATGACATCATGATCGCGCTGGCTCCAAAAACAATAAACCCCAACCACCATGCACCAATCCATCTCGGATCTTCTGGTGTCAAAGATGTCTCTGTAACAGTTGATAAGTGTACGCATTAATCATTTGAGACAACAGTATTTAACAACAATTTGTTCACTTGGTAAAATTAGATTTTAAGTTATCATTGTGGTGCAGTTACTAATGTAATTTTTAAATTGTCTTTATGGTGCACAATTAAATTGACTTTTCAATAGAACTTTTGAATTGTCCTTACTAATGCAGTTTACGGGTGCAACTTTTAAATTGTCGTTACGTAAAACTAGCAACCATTGACACGCTCTTAGGTAAATGTACCCTTCTTATAGCATAAACATCTACAGAAGCTCGAAGGCATATAAAAGGTACATTAGCGCTATTCTTGCACAGACGTATAGGTCTCATTCGGTAACTTTGCGTTTTGTTATTTGGTTGTTCTTTTAAAAAGTCGGTTATCAAATAAATATATGATAATTCAAAAATTTATGTAAAAACAAATTAAACAACCCTCATACCTTTTAAATCAACAGGTAGTTTGTTGAACAGCCCTCCTGCAGTTATAGCAATGAATGGTCCAAATATCGAAAAAGACATAAGAATTCCTGAAGAAGAAAACAACTAAGGAGAGTAAAATATGCTAAACAAAATTTACGCTTTGTATTGATCAGATGTTTTAAATGTTATTTATGTGTAACATATATCTAATTTGATCAATTCTGCTAGTTTAACAGAAACAAATAAATAAATAAACGAATGTAATGAAGTCACGAAGGGAAGAGAAAGGAAGGAAGAAAGACAGAAGAAGCGGGCGAACGAACAAAGAAACAAATAAAAAATAAATAAAAGAAGACACAAAATGACCATACAGGGACACATACAATGTTTACAGCTTTAAAATGTGTCATTTTAAAGTTCTTATTACAAAAACAACAATGATGATGATAACCAAAAAATAATGTTTATTTCAACATTAATAATAATATCATCATCATCATCATCATCATCATCATCATCATCATCACCACCACCACCACCACCACCATCATCATCATCATCATGAAAAACAACAACAACAACAAAAACGATTACTATTATATCGGTGATAATATTGATGATGATGACGACGATGATGGCAACGACGACGACGTTGGTGATGTTGCTCATTTTACATCTTGTTGGGACACTTAGTCCATGCAATCTTTTTACATTTAGAAGCAGAGGAATCAGTCAAAAGCATGCGTACACAGACGATTTTAATTGTTCAAGGGTGCTCATACCTAAATAGAACCCAGTCTTTTCTTTCGTAGAGTTGTTATCAATGTACAAACTGCCGAGAGGAACCCTAGGGGCTTTCGCAACACCCTGTAGTACCATCATAACTGCTATAAGGGCGACAACCCATGTATTACTTTTCACTGAATCTGTTTCCGAGAGCTGTGCGCATGCCTGGAATACAGAATTATGGTTATATGTTTTCGTTTTTTTATTTTTTTTATTTTTATACATATTTTTTGATGAAATGTTAATTATAATGTGCTGTAATAAACGGGAAAACAATAACATAAGTTTTCATTTTACTGGGATCTGTTTACACACCCTCCAAATATGCTATTTAAGTTATAGATATTGAAACTTAAATGCTGTCATTTGGTGACAGGTTTTCTAAATAGTTACGATAAAATCTTAATTCCAAAGATATTTACCATCAAAGTTTCGCGATACCTTACCTGTGACTGTGACACGTTATTGTCAGCTCCTGGGACGCATATATATTCATTCTTTGAGGTGGAGTTTACTAAGGTGACGCCCACGGCCTCCTTTTCGTTAATTATGAAATGCGGTAGGCTGGTCAAAACTCCCGATACACCAAAAACAAAAATACAGAGTGCCAATATTCGTGGAATGTTTCTACTGCAGAAAAGAATAAGAATATTGATCTTAGATGCACTTACTGTAACTTGTAAAATTCATAACTTTCAAAAGACAGGGAGATGAAGGAAAAAGTTGTTTACACGTATATCCTTGCAAATATACATTCTGATTTTGACATGGTTTCTTTTTTATTACAAGGTAAATATTTATTTAAATTCATATACACATAGAGTGAATACATGATCAAATTAATTTTGCTTTTTAATTCTTGCGCTTTAAAAGATATGTTTTATTAGGTGTTTATTTTTTATTTATGGTTTTATGGTTTTTTTTACACTTTCACTACATGTGTTATTTCAGTTCTTACGATAATTGCAATGATCGATGCCTTGGTTGTACAATCAGGAGATAGCAAACCTATCTCCTACTGCACCACACCTGTTAAGTCTAACAAAGCTCCAAATTTCAAATAATTAAAACCCTTCAAACCTAAAATGAGCAGGTCCACATTCAAAGAAGTACAAGTCTAATGAGCAAATTCAGGTTGGTAAGGGTATGAAATGCGTATGTGCGTGCGTTGGTTCGAATGTGTGTGCGTGCGTGTGCGTGTGTGTGTGCGTGCGTTATAACTATCATTTTGAGGTGTCGGCCTTTGCTACATTGTAAGACGTATCATGCTAACGTGTTGACCTTTGCTATATTGTAAGATGTATCATGCAAACGCGTTGACCTTTGCTATATTGTAAGACGTATCATGCTAACACGTTGACCTTTGCTACATTGTAAGACGTACGATGCTAACGCGTTGACCTTTGCTAAATGGTAAGATGTATCATGCTAACGTGTTGACCTTTGCTACATTATAAGATGTATCATGCTAACGTGTTTACCTTTGCTATATTGTAAGGCGTATCATGCTAACGTGTTGACCTATGCTACATTGTAAGATGTATCATGCTAACGTGTTGACCTTTACTTTACAACATTGTAAGATGTATCATGTAAACGTGTTAAGCTTTGCTACATTGTTAGACGTACCATGCTAACGTGTTGACCTTTACCACATTGTAAGATATGTATCATGCTAACGTGTTGACCTTTGCTATATTTAAGATGTATCATGCTAACGTGTTGACCTTTGCTACATTTTAAGACGTACCATGCTAACGTGTTGACCTTTGCTATATTGTAAGGCGTATCATGCTAACGTGTTAAACTTTGCTATATTGTAAGACGTACCATGCTAACGCGTTAACCTTTGCTATATTGTAAGACGTACCATGCTAACGTGTTGACCTTTGCTATATTGTAAGATGTATCATGCTAACGTGTTGACCTTTGCTATATTGTAAGATGTATCATGCAAACGCGTTGACCTTTGCTATATTGTAAGACGTATCATGCTAACGCGTTGACCTTTGCTACATTGTAAGACGTACGATGCTAACGCGTTGACCATTGCTAAATGGTAAGATGTATCATGCTAACGTGTTGACCTTTGCTACATTATAAGATGTATCATGCTAACGTGTTGATCTTTGCTATATTGTAAGCAGATCATGCTAACGTGTTTACCTTTGCTACAATGACAACTATAGATTTTGTACTGCAACGCTGAAAAATACTTACTGTTTCAAAAAATGACTGGCCAATAAAACTGTTACAACAAATCCTATATCATTTGCACTCAATAACAACCCACTTTTTGCACTGCTAAGACCGAACGCTCTTTCCAAAACAGTTATTTGTGATGACAGATAGACGGAAATACTTTGTGAAAACAGGGCTCCCATTCCAAGGACCAAACAAAACGGTACCAAACTTTTAAACTCGCTTTTTGTACCGTCCATATTTCTGTCAAAAGTGTTTTCCTCGTCAGTATTTAGGCTTGCTCGACGGTTGTTTATTTCATTATCCCTATTTTCACAAATGCTTGTTTCAAAAGCATAACCGCTGCATCCGCCATTTATTATTCCAAGTTCCGTTTCCGGTCCGCCATCTTGGTCGCCTGCTGGTTGCGTTATGAAGAGGTGATTCGAATTGTTACTTGCACCATTTCCATCATGAAAAGGTAACACACTGAAAATATATTTAATACAATGCTTGGTAACATTTTAGGTCTTTAGTTTAGGAATGTTAAGTTAGATGTCATGTAAAGTAATCAATCTATAAACAGCAACATTATTGAAGGCCTAAAATTTCACTAAGTCATGGGTCATAAATACTTGGTCATATTTCTGGTTTCTTCTTTCAATAAATGTCGCCTTGTGAACAATGTTGTTTGGGAAAAATGGCCAGTACAAAAATGAAATATGAAAAATAACAAAGGGCAATAACTAAAAAATAATGAGTGCAGAGCAACAGTTTCTGTGCACTGCACATCTTATCAATAATATCTATCATTCTATGATATTTCAAGTCCATAGCTTTCATACTTGAGGAGAAATGACCAGGACAAAAATAAAGTAAGAAAATCAACAAAGGGCAATAACTCAAAAAATAAGAAATGCAGAGTATCAGTTCTTATGCACTGCACTTTTTCTTAATGAGATCTATCATCCTATGAAGTTTCAAGTCCATAGCTTTTATACTTAAGGAAAAATAGCCCGGACAAAATTAAAGTATGAAAATAAACAAAGGGCAATAACTCAAAAAAAAGAAATACAGAGTACCTGTTCTTGTGCACTGCACTTCTTCTTAATGAGACCTATCATCCTATGAAGTTTCAAGTCCATAGCTTTTTTAGTTGAAGAGAAATGGCCCGGACAAAATTAAAGTATGAAAATTAACAAAGGGAAATAACTCAAAAAATAAGAACTGCAGAGTACCGGTCCTTGTGCACTGCACTTCGGGTTATTGAAAGAAGCATGCATACCAAGTTTGAAGTCAATCAGACTTATAGTGACTGAGTTACACTCCGGACAAGCTTTAGGGGACACCGACAACGACGCCGACACAGACGCCGCCGACGACGCCGCCGACAAAAGTAACCCCTATATGGTGCTGATTCAAGTGGTTAGGAGTAAAATATTTCTTTATTTCCACTAAATCAATTTATGTTTAAATCGAGACATTGAACATTATTATAAGCTATGAAATAATGGTCCAATTTAAGTGGGACAAACGCACACACACACGCACCTCCCTATCCTCTAGATCGGCGAATGATTATAGAATCGACGGACCATCTCTGTTGACACGTTTTCACAGCTGTGGAAGTTAACAGATTTTTGTTGTGTTTTTTTTAAGAATGCAGGTGTCATTTTAGAAATGATAGCAGATGCGGAAAATGATCGATCACAAAAGGTCACTACTTACATAGAATAAAAGCAACGACAACAAAAACAACACGACACAATACCTGAACAATTCAATAGATTCCTTATCCAATGATGCGAGGTCATCAAAGTCAGTTATTTTCATAGTTCGGAAATATGTGTTTTCACAAACAAACTTTCTTAAATTTATGTTAAATCATCTTCATTTCTTGAAATAACTGTAAATCCAAGAGTGTGAGATAAATGTGGAAATGTTAGATATGAAGATTTGATTTGATTTTCCCGTTTTCACATTTCAATAAACGTGGTGCACGTATTCTATCTCTTTCTTTCTGCTCCCCATTTCATAACACTGAGCATTGTTTACATGTTAGTAAATACATTCACTAAATGTACATTTTTACATAACCTTTACGTATGAGAATGTGCTAATTAACTTTAAAGTTTTCGAAGTGGCCTTACCTCACCATGGATACCATATTTGATATGCAAAATGTTCGATACAAGGTGAATCTTTAATAAATCATAACTAGATTAAACCGTTATTAAACGCTGATATTGTTTTAAAGAATAGATGCTTGTGTTGAACCAACCAATTACAAGTTCTTTATAAAAACAAATGATGATCATCATCACGTGCTGATGATGATGATGATGATGATGATGATGATCGTCGTCGTCGTTTTTGTCGATGGTGATGTTGTTGTTTTTTTCTTTCAAAATTAGCATCATTTTATTCGGGTACAGGTAAATTTACATAATACTACAACTCATCCCATACCATACATAGAGTCTAAAATGTTTCTTTTAAGTGGTGGGAAAGACACAATTGTATTTATAAGTTGGGTATGACAAAGTTTCTCAAATCCCCTCTAAACTCTGTACAGTAGCGTCCTGTCAGCGACCGTCGGTCTGTCGGATAAATGCTTTCCGGCAGCATCTATCGCATTATCATCACTCTCCTTTTCATAAACATCATCATTATTAATTAACAGTACAAAGATATTGACCCATGACTTTGTAATAATATGAAAAACATGTTGTTTTTTCCTGACATTCCTGTAAAATCTCAACCATCAGTTTTTACTTGCTAATAAATTATCACAAGGTATAGTGTTTTCAGGTACATGTATATAATCAGTTCAATAAAAACAAATGCTTTTCTTTAGCTTTCGACGTTTGGTGTTAACTATACGCTTTACAGAACGTGACGTTGATGCGGAAATAAAAACTTTGTCAAATAAATACAGAATCTTTCATGAATGCAAATACAGCAATACACAATAAATTACACATATAATATGGATCTGCATATGTGATACACAAATTCTCATAATTAATAATAATAAAAAAAACTTGACATGAGAAAAAATATACTACATGTATATGTATACCGGCTCAATAATATGCTTGAAAGATGGCAAAGTTATAGATTGTACAAAACTTTTGCATTCATACCATTAGTTAATACATTGTATATTGTATAGAGGATATTTGTTTACTTCAGTGTAAGATCGGAATATATTTCACCCAGTGAGCACCAAAAGGTATATTTCACGAGTGGCGCAGCCACGAGTGAAATATGAACTTTTGGTGTTCACAAGGTGAAATATATTTCGATCTTACACTAAACTAAACATGCCAAATAATAATACAACGTGACGTCATTTACGACGTAACGTCATTCAGTTGGTACCCAGTACTGTGCACGCTGGTATTTCACTGAAACAACGTGAGGGGCTTAAATTCAAAACAGTCAAAAATTATAAAAGTGGTAATTTCACTGTTTCAAACAGTGAAAGGACCAGTTTTATATCACTGATATATTTCTATAAACCACCGAAAAGCATGTAATAAACATGTATAACATTCAATCAGAATAAATACTGGAAAAAGTACTACATATCTATATACAGGAGAAAATAAATCGCTCTAAAACAAAATACGTGTAGAATCTATTATTTCTGATCATATGCAAGTCCATAATAAATCACTCTATAAACACTTTTATTCAATAAATATTAAATACTTTATAAATATCCAAATAATACATTTCTATAGTTTTTTTGTCAATATTTGAAATACCTAAGAAGAATGTGCCCATTTAACTTAATTTCCGTCAAGAGAAATCTGATGTGACAATTGCTATTATAAAAGCGTTTGGGTAGTGATTTCTGTTGTTAACGCCTTTAACATGTATACAAAAGCTAAACACCCATGCTTGAGTTGTGCTGTTTCCTGTTCAGGTACGAATCTCAGTTGAAATAAGAACGACTGAAACAGCTCTCTGTTTATTACGAAAGACCGGTAGGGCCATTTCAACTTAAAGAATTCTTGAATTCTCATTTTTAGCTTCGTAAATTCACGTTTTCAACATACGACATTCACGTTTGATTTTGCATTATTTATCATTATTTATACTGCGTGACTAATACAGTAAGTGCTATTTAGCATTTTTGACCTCTTTTTTGTAATTTACGTGGATTGTAAGTGCAGTTTAAAATGTGTACTCAATTCACAATATTTTACAAATCCGCATGAATCAGTAGGCACGCTCTTTTAATATTACAGAAATGAACTTAATTACCAAAATCATATATAACATATTAAGAGGTAAGCAATGTAAAAAACTATCTAAAAAAAACGTACTCCAGACCAAGTCATTGACAAGTGTAATGTATTTTTTAATGATCTATCTGATCGTGACATGCCGACAATTTTTTATATAAAAAACACCACTACATGTATATACATGTACACTGATCTATAATTGTGGTTTGTGTATAAATTGTAAGCACAGCTGATTATAATAGTCTTATTTGTGGCTTTCAATCATTGACAAACACAAACATTTTTCGAATTTAAAGGCACATTACGCCTCAGAAATTAACATGTTTTCTTTATGTAGAAAAGACAAATATGCATTCGTAATGTTGCAGTAATGGATTTAGAACGTGTGAAATGTCTATCATCTGAGAAAACAACAACAATAACAACAACAAAAATAACAACGAAAACATATCGCTGAATGTGAAATATTTTGCACTAAAGATATAACAAATGTAAACAAAGTATGATTTTGACTTCCTTGTACAAAAAGAAAAAGATGCCAATGTTTAACTTTTTGGAACAAGTTTGCCAAAAATTGAAAGCTTAAGAAAAATATTTTAAGCACTTTTAAGACCTAATAGGCCTTTAAGTAAAAATAAAATGCACACTTTGATACCATTTGATGGATTTAAAAATGTTTCTATTAAAAGCAAAACGTGTGTACTTATCCGCACCAGTAATTTACTGTTATATAATAATGAAATATATATATGTTTAGTGACATTATTATTGGGCATGATTAATTGTTTTTAATTATGAAGTTATAAGATGGGACGGGAAGAACGCGTCAAAATTTGCGGTTTCAAATTGTCACGTTTATACATGTAGGGTTTTTGAAAATAACGGGAGCACTTATTGTAACAGGGCTTTACTTAACCTTACCCAGTGTTGGGTCACAAGATCGGGAATATTATGTAATTCGCTTCAATGTCTGATACCCAACAATTATCATCCAGTTTGTGCTGTTCATGACTTTATTAAGCTATCGATGCCCTTACAACAATGTCTTTTTTCCTATCTTTTTTTCTCTGGTTGTATTAATATTTTTTTCGGAGCAGCTGTATTTAAACCATTTTTGAACCGGCTGAATAATTATGGAGGGCGATCGTTGCCAAAATTCCAGACATGTAAAGCGTTCAGTTTTAAAATGACTTTTGAAAATGCGAACTTGTATGCCTACCATTTTTTTGT